TGAAATTCAACATTTCAAGTATTCAATAATTGAATTCAACTTTCAAGGTAGACATAAATAGCAGACCGATAAATAGTTAAGCAGCTAGTTTTGTATGTAGTTAACTAGGTAGATAGATATACAGATAGGTAATAGTAAGTTAAACAGGTATATAGATACAAGATAGGTTTGCAGATAACTTAATCGGTATATTGACGAAGATATCTATTATCTGAATGGCTTACACGAACAAAAGTATCATGGAAAAAAAAACAAACCAAAAGAGGCTTAGAAATAGAAAAAATATAATGGCCCATATAAACGCACGAATAGTTTGGACGCTTCAGAATGCCAATTGTGGTTCCCGAGTGTAAGTCAGAAACGTTTACAAAGGTACTTGTGAAATGCCTACGAAACTATAATGCACAAACCCTCAAAAAATTTAGCCAGTGTAAGAAGTGATCGTTTTCATGTTGTGCGTTTTTTTGAATGATCATCAAGAACCATGATTAGCGTTCGAAAACATTCAAAATTCCTATAGCGTTGTCACGCGTTTTTTTGTCTGCTTGAGTAGACACCTACTGTAAAAAAAATGCATAACTTTTCTTCAAGATCATTTCGTTTAATTAGTTTGTCTTTTCAGAAAAAAAAGAGCAAACATGACCACATGTTCTACTTTTTTGTCACATGAATGGCGAAGCGAGATATGTCGTGAATGTTTTCAAAAGAAAGAACTTCATGAAACAAGAGATCAGTCTTCTATCGATGTTTCTCAACTGATTGGACGATCAGGTATGTCCAGTGTTTGAAGATTGTATTGATTTTCATCTTTACAAGACTAAGAACCAACGTTAAGTAGAACTATCATTTCTCGAAAAATTGTCTGACGAATGAAACGAATTGTCTTCGAAAAAAATTTACTTATTATGATATTCTTCAAATTTGAATAATCTTTCTATGGCGATGACGCCTATTCGAATATTTTCTTTCTGTTGCCTATTAGTTAAAATTTTTCTTTATAGTTTGACCTACAATATCACAATCTTTTTTTTGTAATATGGATCGATCTCTTTTTGTGATGAGATAATTTTATTTTAAAACTATGTCCCTGAAGAATGAAGCTACGACTAGAGTCCATCAGGTCCAAGAATTTTTGAACTCGGATTCGATTGATTAAAATTTTTTGGATCCGGACTAGTCCGATCAAAATTGTCGAATTTGGACCTAATTGACTGGTCTTTTGTGGGTAGAGCTCATCGGATCCAAGAATTTCTGGACCCGGACCCGATCGAAACAAAATTTTCAGACCCGAACTCGGTCGAGTCCGGATAGGGCCCGATGGACTCTAGCTACGATAAGAACAAAAAGAAAAGACAGAAAACTTTACTCCTACTGTCAGGCCTATTAATTTATATCGTTTGAGTTGAGTACTAAAAATGTATAGAAATTACTTTGTTATTGTACCTAGTAACTAATTTACTTTCTAGTGGATTGGAAAGAAACGTCAATATAACAATCTTAAACGTAAACATTTCGTGTATTATGTTCGGAAAAATTTCGTCCTAGTAGGGTGTACAATAACAGTTTCACACTATGATCGGATCATATTACAATAAGGTCTATATATGTATATGAAGAATGGAATAAGTGAATCAAATGCATATTTACACTTAATATGTATTGATTGAAGTTTTAAATAAATTTTCATATATTGATCAAATCTTTCTCTCTTTTGTAGGAAGTAGAACATCAATAAAAAGGATAAAACCGGACGATGACGATATGACTGATAATTATATCAAACAACTCGTCTGTCGTTTCGAGGATACAATTTTGACTGAATGTGGACAAAATAAAGATGAGAGCACAAAAGTAAACGATCAACATATTGGAATCAATGCAACTGAACTTTTAAAGCCAAAAATTAACAAAATTGAGAAGGATTTACTTGAAATTTATTTTAAATCTGAGGTAGATCATGCACTAGAATTACTTGAGTTCAACATTGTTGTTATTGGTTCACCACGTGTCGGTAAAAGTGAACTCATCAATACATTATGTGGTGGCAAAAAACTAGCTGAAACAAGTACAAGTTTAACCTCATGTACAAAAGAAATAAAAAAATATGTGTTAGAAGGTGATCAAACGCAAGCGTCTGAAATTACTCCATCTCAGGTTAACTTTTATGATACGCCCGGTCTCGAATCATGGATTGATGAAGGAGGACAAAAATGCATGTTTGAATTGATCGAGAAGACAAATCCAATTTGTATCATTTATTGTGCTTCTCCAGGTTCATTTGCTGATTTATTACAACTTCGTCCTGTACTACAGAATTGTAATGATCGAAATATATTTTGTGCTCTTGTGTGTACTAATATGTGGTCTAGTAATAGACGACAAAAAGTAATTGAAGAATTTCAAAATGAACTCTCAATATTCGGAACACAAAATGATATGTATTCGGATCAATTTAATTCTAAAATTCAACATAAAATATCGTTTTTCGGCAATGGTACCCTTTGTACAATGGTAAATTCAGTCGAATATTTCGATTTGGAAATGTCATCGATTAAAAGACCAGTACAGGGAATTGATGAACTCATTCATGGTATCATGCAATCATTAGATGATCAGAAGTTACTTGGTTGGTGCAATGCTGTTCTTCACCGACGTAGCTATTGGGAAAAAATCAGTCAAAAAACGACCGGTTTCTTCTCTGTGGGTATAAAAAAATTACTAAATTATAAGTTTTTTTCTCGTTTGAAAATGAAATGTACTTCTACACAGACTAATTATGAACAAATGTCAAAGCTATCATAGAAGATATTAAGTTATGCGTTCACATTCTTCAATCAAATTTTTCTTCTAAAATAATATTTATTTATTTTCAAAACAAAAATACTTGAAGATGTTTTGTTTTCTAGATAAAGATTTTCACATACATGACAAAAGATTTTAATATCATCGTTTGTGGTTCACCGCGCGTTGGTAAGAGTACTCTTATTAATGCTTTGTGCGGTAAAGAAGTAGCTAAAACAAGTAACAGCTTAAAGTCATGCACGGATAAACTTGAGAAATATGTACACAAAGGAGAACAACCAGCGAATGATGGAGTTTCGCCGCCAATTCAATATTCCATTACCTTTTGGGACACACCCGGTATTGAATCATGGTCTGAAAATGATGTTCGACAACATTTTACCAATATTATGCATGAAAGTAATCCAATTTGCATGATCTATTGTGCGTCGCCTGGTTCATTTCTTCTACTAGAACAATTAAAATGGCTTGTTGATACATGTATTCAATCCAAGATTTTCTGTGCACTTGTTTGTACCAACAAATATTCTGGAGGTTCTCAGAAACGTGCACAAGTTATGGAAGATTTTCAATCGCTCTTCAACGAACGTTATGTTATGATAAAAGATGAATCAAATGTCAAGTATTTTACTGATGTAGCTTTATGTACAGCAGTAAATAGTATTGTGTATGAAGATCAAGAATTGGATATCAGGAAAGATATTGAAGGTATTAATGAGCTTATTTTTGGCATGATGACTTCGTTGAAAGACAACAAACTTGTTGGATGGTGTTATACTGTCGCTGAAAATGATACTTTTTGGACGACTATGAAGGTAAAACTGGAAGAATTCTTTCGAGAATATCGACCGGCTATGAAGTTTTGTATCCAACAAGTTGGTAAGATAATTGCAACAACTTTAATTGAGTTCATTTTGAACACAAACTCTTAATGAACTCTAAAATCATCAATAAACTATTATGAACACTTATCTACAATTTGAATTTATCTTTTCAGTATAATTTCATTCTTTTTGCATTAAACTCGAATATAGAAGGGTAAGATTGATTTTCAGGCAAACATATCTCAAATCATATTTCAATGAATATCTCATAGCTTCGAATAAAATCCACATCACTCTAATTGAATAGTAGATAGACACTTGTTCTATTTCAATATTGTTTTACTCTGATCAATAGCTAATTGCTGGCGTAAGCATGAATGCAATAGGAAGAAATTCTTTAGAATAGTGCTCTTGTGCGATGATGTTGATACATCAATATCATCTTTCAAGAGCTTCAGAAAAAAAGCGTTTTTGATTTTCAACAATCACTGAAATATTGTGATGATCAGTTCGAAAGAATACCAGAGCCTTTTATCGAAATCTGGTATTGCTCGTAGATTCATGATAGAACGTGATATACATCCGTGGGCAAAAGTCTTCGTCTCCTCCTCCTTTTTTTTTTAAATTTTCAATATTTGCTTTCTTTTTATTATCGAACTAAAGTATGAACTAAAGTATAACAAAGACAATTTATTTTAATATGATGTCTAGTCACCATTGGCTTCAATTAAGCACTGCACTTGTCTTTCCATGCTATCGATCAATTTGACAGCCAAGTCATTCGAGAATGCTTTCCATGTCTTTCTTATTTCTTGTTTGAACTTTTTTTTTACTTAATATGTTCTCCATCATCGACCAAACGTTCTCAATTGAGTTTTGATCTAGTGATGAAGAGGGCCAAGACAGAACCTATATTCGATTGTCAATTGCTAGATGGCATCTGTATCTAGGATCATTGTCTTCTTGAAGGATCCAGCTAGTTGGACCGTCAGGAAACTGACGATGAGCAGTAGACAGAAGACCATTCTCATACATGTCACACATAAAGTCTCCTATCAAATTGTGTTTGAAAGTAATTAATTGTTCGAAATCTTGTTTTGAAACACACCTCCAGACGTGCAGCTTGAGAGGATATTTAACTGTACGAACAATTTTTGCGACACCTGGAAACCGCCACACTTTTCTTCCGCCGTTGCCAAGTTTGAAAGTCTTCTCATCGGTAAAAATTACATTGTCTCAATTGAAATTTTGGTGCTGTCGAGCCCAGATGAGTCGTTGCTCACGATGTTTGTCTATGAGTAAAGACTTCTTTTAAAGGCGGACCATAATTTCCTTCACTTTCACGTAATCGACGTCTAACAGTACTTGGATCTATATCCACACCGTCCTCTTTTAGAGTTTCTGAAATGTCGTTTGATGTAACATTCAGCTCATTTTTGGCAATATTAACAATCTTTTTTTCTGTTGTCTTCGACGTCGTCCAGTCTTTGGCAAATTCGACAGGTCTTCATTTTGTTGCCATCTGGCAAGCCAATGCCGTACGGCTTTTTGTTCACACCCAATATACTTTGAAATAGCTTTATTTGATATTTTAGGACCTAGAGAACGTAGCTTGAGAAACACAATCTCATGGTGTTATGATGGAGATAGTGGCCTGTTTTAAATTTTACGAAAGAATGATGAAAACACAATTCTCAATATCGATCCACATTTTATACATTAACAATTGTTACCTGAGATTGGGTCATCCGAATCAGCAAATAAGAAGAAAGAGAACGGAGAAGGACTATTGTTTAGGCCTGTATTTATGTTATACGTTAGTTCAATAATAAAAAGAAAGCAAATATTAAAGTTTTTAAAAAAAAGAGAGAAGGGGGGGAAAGACTTTTGCCCACGGGTGTATAACTGTGTTTGGTATGACGTATAAGTTGATACATACTGAATATCGGTAGTTTTTTCTCTTTCATTTTTTATCAATATTTTCTAGACAAGAATTTATTATGAACGAAAATCTCACTGAGACAAATATACTTCTGTGTGGATCAGCACGTGTAGGGAAAAGCACTCTTATAAATGCAATCTGCCAGCAAAATCTAGCAAAGACAAGTGCCAGTCTACAATCGTGTACGACCGGTTTGAATTGTTATACTATGGAATATTCGGAGGAGAAATCATCTTATAGAACCATCTTTTGGGATACACCGGGTATCGAATCTTGGCACGAACTTGATGTACGTCGTCACATAACTTCATTGATTGAACATACTCATCCGATTTGTATGATTTATTGCGCATCACCAGGTTCATTTGCTAAATTAGAACAAGTCAAGTGGTTACTGTTGGAATGCCATCGTCAAAATATATTTAGTGCTGTTGTCTGTACGAATATGTGGGCTGGCCGAAATCGTCGAGAACTTGTAAATGAATTATGTGAAATTATTCAAAGTGTTCATCCAACTATAGAACCACGAGAAGAAGACGGTGTTATATATTTTGATCGAGTTACTCTGTGTATGATGGTCAATAGTGAGACGTATATTGATGAAGAATTTGATCTTACAAAATCTCCATCTGGTATCAACGAACTTATCTTTGGTATAGCTAAATCTCTTGGACGAGAAAAAATGTTTCAATGGTTTCGAACTGTTTCTCAAAACAGATCGTTCTGGTCAACAATGTCGTCCAAATTTATCGATCTATTCAAGATATCTATCGATGTATTCAACTCATTGCACGAATATCCATACCAACTTATTAATTATTTATTCAATAACACTGAAGAACCAAAAATACTTTCTAAAAACGATCAGAGATCAAGAAATACATTGCCTTGTTTAGATTTACATTCCAGGTCAACTTCTGAAGATGAACGATCATTAGCAACCAATGATAGGGTACTTATTTTATGTAGGATTATGCATTTGCAGCATATATCGTTATATATATATATATATATAAAAGCGATTATAAAGTTTTGACCAAACAACAAGACATATGTACGTTTGTAAAGGAAGACTTCTAGGTATCATCAAGTTCTATTGCGTAGCATAGAGATGTTGATAGGTGGTGCCACCTTCGCCGTAACTATAGCAAAACACCAGGCCCTGAAACGGGCCTCTCAACCCGGTGACTCGGCCCGCCCGACCCGACGATTTTCTCTTTTTCTGTCATTTGACTCATTCCTGAGGGGAGAGAGGGGGAAAGTTTCTGCGCTACCCCCCACAGTGGGCAGCCAGGCGACAAAATCGATTTGTGAGATCTGAACCTATATCGCAGCTAGCATTAGAGCTACTATGGTCCTGCATTTAACTGCATCTTGGATTCTGATTGCAAGCGAGTGGCTGTCTTGCAGCAGCTACCACAAAGTAGGTAAAATAGGTGAATATCAGTGATAGGGCCCTAGAAGTAAAGCTTATGTTTCTAATTAAAGATCTAATCATATCCATTAGATATTATGCAGTTATTTAGCTTTATATGTTTACTATATAGTACAGGCCTTTCGGACTATCTGAAGTTCCTTCTGTTCTAATAGGGCCAAAAACCTGGTCATAATGTACTAAAAAGTAACGATTAGTGAATAATACAATTCGTTCGCGGGATTTGACGGAGGTTTTTATTTGAATTTGAATTTGAATTTACTATTTTATAGAGCCTGTCATCATCCATCTTAGGTCGATGCGCAAAGATGCGCACATATACCCTTCCTGAGATACGACGTCGCAAATATAACTTGTCATGCAGATCGGTTCCGCAGGATTTGTATAATAAATACTTATCTTTTAGATCGATTAGGTTTCCAATCATTTTCAATAGACAATACAAACTCAAATACATGAATTTTTCAACTAATACAACGGTTGTTCGGTTCTAAACATAACCCATCGATAGTTTTTAACTTTAAACTATTCAGAGGGAAACCTCGATAACTCGCGAGGAAATATCTTCAGGTGCTAAGTCATTTCTGACTTTGGACTATGTTCATTCGATGAGAACTGGCGAGGGTAAAAAACGTCTAGAATGATTTGGCTTTCCAGGCCATCGTTCTTATGATATCGAATTTTTACTGAATTTTTCAACAAAACCCCGTACTTCCCCTCAGATCACGTTGAAAGTTAAATTTTTAGTTTTTGACTTGAAACTTTGCATAAATAATGCTTTCAGTGGAACTAGTTCATTGTGAAAGTTTCAGCCCTTTTCGTTGCTTCTGTCTTGAGATACGGATATTCAAAATTCTGTTGTGTGAGAAAGCAAATTTTGTGCTTTTGTCAGTATATCACGAAAGAAGCAATGGAAAATGCTGCAGCTTTCACAATGAACTAGTTTCATTGAAAGCATTATTTGTGCAAAGTTCCAAGCCAAAATTAAAAATTCAACTTTCAGTGTGACCTGAGGGGGAGTACAGGATTTTGTTGAAAAATGTAGTAAAAATCCTATTTTTCAGAAACTTTACGAGTAGAAGAGGCTAAATAGGCACAGATAATCAGCATCAAGTGAGAACCATAATTATACAAAATATCAAGTTATTAGCTATATTAATTGTAAGGATTGGTCCTGGCCCCCTTTTTCGGCCCCCTGTGCCCCCACCTCGGTCATCACTCTTTTCTAAAAGACGAAAAATGTGCAATAGCTCTCCATTAAGAAAAAAAATCTTTGTAAACGAAATTTTCTTCGGGCTCGGGCCGGACCGGCTGAATAAAAGTTGCATCGGGTCTAAGTAATTTTCGGGCCATAAAAGAGTGGCCCGATTTCGAGGCCTGCAAAACACAGCAAAGGTGGCGCCATCTATTGACATATTTACAGTACGCAATAAAATTCGATAATAACTATATCATCTAATAGAAAAAGTCTTCCTTTACAAGCCTACATATATCCCGTTGTTTGGTCAAAAACCATTGTGAAACTTATAAACGCCTTTGTTTATTTGTTTAGGATAGTAATAAATATTGTGGTGTTGAATCAGTCGAAGAACTCGTACAATTGAACTCAAAGACACTCTCATTTATATTGAAATCTTCAGGTGATCATTCGAATGACAATCATTTTCTTTTTTATTGTCTTATTTTAGATTCAGTAACAGAAAGTCAACTAAAACTCTCTTTAGCATCTCTGGGAGCTACTAATACTCAAACTACAGAATCAATAGATCAATATCAAACAAGAATTATTGTCAAGTGTGTTATTTGAATTTGACATATTGACCAAAATAAATTTGTCTCATACTTAGATTTGACAAGATCGAACAAATTGAAGCAATATGTTGTATTTGGCAATTGGCCAAACAAACCAATATAGAATGCACAATTGTAAATGAACCATTCTTTTGATTCAGTCTCGTTACTTTCTATGAAAGACAAACTACATGATATTTTTTTTTCGTACTAATAAAAATGGAACATATTATACTTGACAAACGCATCGATCGTGTCTCTCTATAGCAGGAATACTTTAGATAGCACGAAGAAAAATGTTAGCCGCTTGGTAACTGGAATAGCAATGGTTTTTTTTGCAAAAAAAACGACATCTTTTCACTTTTGAATTTGAAAGTCAAAAGACAATTTTGCCTAATCAGGAACTCAAATTTAGTCGACTCACGTATAGAAAAGTGAAAAGGAAAAGTCTTGAATATCCCGTTGCAGATTTTGAGACCGACATATTCAATCTTAAATGATCATTTTTGGTATCAGATTATGATGACTACTGTCATACATTATTATTCTGCAGCGTACGGGTAAATACAATAAGTTCCTATGCATTTCCGATTTCAAGTTATCGTAGGAAAACCATTGTTTCTCGTACGATGATTTTCCGGCTCTAAATACTGCTTCCATATTCTTAATTTTTTTCGACAGATTGATTCTGCAGGAAACACGCCGAAAAGTCATCGTATACCCCGGAATCAACGATCTGGGTTAATAGCAAAAAGAATTCAATTTGTTGTATTCACACATATTGTTAATCATTTAAAATTGAATATAAATTATATCTATGACCAAGATTTATTCTCTTCTCTCAAATTCATTGAGAAAGAGAACCAATCGATTTTACAGACGATGCCGACGAATAATAAATCATATCTTTGAATGCTCTACTATGGATCTTAATGAAAAATGTTCACTTCCCTACACTGAACGAGAAGTATGTGCAGCAGAGTTGGAACCAATCCAGCTGATTACTTGTCGATCTAGAAAATTTTTTCAACCGCTCGGCCATAAGTTCGATTCCAACTCTGATGTGAAGAGCCTAGTAAACTGATTTAAAAATATTGAACAACATGAACAAGAATTAATTGTTTGTTATAAAATAAATAAAATCATTATCAACAAAACACATGCACGCTATGTGGAAAAAAACAAACTTTCATTCAATCACTCCTGAGAGGAAGAGAACCTAGCACATGCATGTACAAATTCTATCAAGGTTCATAAAATCAATTAATCCAGCTAGAAGACACTATTATCTCACCTTGATGCATTTTTCGATACCTTCTAATTGTAATTCTCTTCTAACCTTTTAAGGGGACTCACCCCAAAAAAGTCAATTTTGTGATTTCTAGCTCGTTAGATAGAGCAAAATATTTACTTTCGAATGCACTATAATTTATTGATTTTATGATGAGATCTAAGGATATAACATAGGTTTTTCTGAACCTTCCACTAACGTTTTTGTTCTAGAAACTTTTGGTTTTTTTAAAGTTTCCGTGCGTCCCAGATTTCTTCGCTATTTTAAATGTAAGAAAGCTGGGCCAAGTGTCAAAATGAAGGCAAAAATTAGCTCTACAACTTAATACAGGCGAATTTTTCGATTTCTCCATTAATGTTTATAAAAAACTAACTGTTCCGGACGTGCACTCCTTGGATTTTTCATATTTCATCAGAGGAATTTTCTAAAAACATAAGCTAAAATCGACATATCTGATCCTGTTAAGTTGCAGCGCCATATCTTGACTACATTTTAAAACCAACATCGAACTTTCTAATATTTGAAATGGCCAATGATAAATAAATAACATTGACTCTGACTCCATCGGTGACGTCGGCTTTCCGAGTAATGCAGAACTCTAGATACGAGTTTTTTTCTTGATTATAATATAACTGTATCGTGAAATAGGAATTTTCATTAAGAGAAAGAGTTTTTTTTTTGCTTCTTGAGGGTGTGAGGTGTGAGTGTGGGTGTAGATGTTACTTGATATAAAATGAACCCACACCCACACCCTCCCACACCCTCACCCACACCCTCCCACACCCTCACCCACACCCACAGCCACACCCTCGAGTTCAATAGACTTCCGATTCCTAATGTCCTTGCTCCCATCATCCAATGGTATTCGTTTTCCCAAAAACTCGGTTCCTATTGGTTTCGGGCTAACCAATAAGATTTTGAGGTGATAGGACCCCTAATTCGAACTCACCGCTAATGATCTGTATCACTATGGTAACTAATCACGACGGCGCCACAAGCAACTCTTTCTGCTGTAGGTAGTAGCGCCGTCGTGACCAGTTACCATGGTGAGGCAGATCACTACTCATCGCCCTTGAAAGCCCCTGCCTGACTTTTTTCCCGAAAACGCAAGTTTAATTAGCTGGTTTCGTAGCAGCTGAATTCCCATTGGGTTTTGGCCAACTAATCAGATTTCGAGGCAAGTAGACCGCAGATTCAAGCTCAACCACCTCGAAAATCGCTAGGTACATGTCTTGTGCTTGCCCACCATGTGCTGTTCAGTAGTACTCCGATACTACCAAATGCTGCAATCTGATTGGTAAGATACATAGGCAGGTTCGTTGTTGGGGGAGGATCGGTATTTTTTCGACAAAAAGTAGACTTCGACCTTCCTCTGGATGAAAGGAAAGCCTTTGAAAAGGTTTTGGCCGAATTCCTCGTATCGTGTTGAAATGCATAACGAACAGACAGACAAACATTCTTCTTCTTTATATATATAGAAAGATATAAATTCACACCAAGCGTGAGAAAAAGGTATGGTAATAGTAGGATGTGGCCTTTCTAAAAGTCGAAGAAAGAAAACTCTCCAACATTTTTCAACAATCGGTAAAATGTGCAATGTATCATAACCTGGGTGAAATTTCACCCACACACCCACGGGAGGGACCCCGTCATGACCTTTCCCTGGACGAAAGGGTATACCATGCAAAGTTTGGTCGCCTTTGCTTGTGTCCTGTGGAAATGCATAATGAACAGACAAACAAACCGACAGACAGACAGACAGACAAATATTCTTCTTTATATATATAGATTTTAATTTCCAATCGAAAAAGTCCATATGAAATACAATCAGATAACCTTCATCTAAAACCTGCAGCCAACCTCTATCGGTAAGTAGAAAAATGATAGTCGTGTCACTGAAGAGAAATCCTGCGCCCAGCATTGTCCAAGAATTTTCTGTTGAGAATTCAATGTTTTTAGAAAATAGAATACAGACATGAAAAGAATAACGTTCGAACAAAATAATAGAATATCAGTCAATAATTGACATAAACAACAAATAGTAATAAAGTCTTATTTCATCGCTCGCCTAGCTTTCTCTATTAGAGAAAGTAATATGGGTCGATATTCGGTAGATGGACGATGCGTATCATTAGGACCTGTAAGAGTATCATACTTGCCGGCCGTGTCTGCAAGTGCCAAAGCAAACTCAAAGTATTTCAAAGCAGGTTCA